AGGTGCCAGTGCGACACTGTACCGTATTTCATTCTCATAAACTCCACCATCCTCGTCTTCATGATCATCGTTATCAGCCTTTATGGATTTACTGCTGGATGAATGCCTGTTCATCACCTCGCAATGTGATTATGTTTCTTTAGCCAGCGAACTTCTTCAGCCCATCCAGTTATTAATCTGCGAGTATTGCTAAGGGCTGTTTACTCTCGACTGAAAACCAGTCTAGGTCCAGCGATGATTGTTTATCTTGTAAATTGTATTGTTCATTGCGAAGAATTTTTTCACACAGGCAATGGCATATCCGACATTTGATTGTGCTCGTGTACATTCATTGATTTGCTTATCCTTTCCTGTTATTTTGGACAAACAGACATCTTTCCATGCTGTGTTTCGGACTCTGTAGTTTATGAATGGCTTTCAGGCTTGCGGTCCACATTTCACAGTCATAGCTTAGCACTGGGAGCACACTGATCGAAGAGTTTCCCCTTCAAGCATGAGGACAGCTTCTCGGATGAAAACATGTTCTGTCGTCGAAAAGTGCTCTATTCTATTGCTGTTCTTTTGCTGATTTTGCATAGTCGGCTTTCCATTGCAGTGATGAGCTGTTTCAGAGTGAGGAGTAGTTTCGTAGTTCTTCAAGCTTAAGTTCGTTGACCTCTGCAGGTCTCAGGGTGACGTATTTTTTAAGCATGAACTGAGTATTCCTCAGTTTCATTTTCTATTCGTCTTTAGTTCTGGCTTTTGGATGGTTCTTTGGAGTTCTTCCGATAACTGTAAGAATATCAGAATATCGTCTGCAAGTCGCAGATGGCGTACGTTGTGTACTTAAGTAGTAGTGTACTTCGTGTTAATTATTATTAGTTAATGAATGGCAACTGTTATTCGATGATGTTCGCTTGTCTTGTTCGCTCTTCACGACGGTTATGTTTTGCATGCGTTCAGAAGAGGAACAGATCCATATGCTGGACTGAGAAAATTTCGTCACCCACTAACTTTCTAACGTTTGGATTCGCAAGACGTTGGCATTTTTGAATATGATGATTAGTCCGGTATTATGTTTCACTGATTTGAATTCTTTGGCGTGTTTAGGATAAGCCTGGTCGAATGCTACAGCGCTGGCTGGCATGCACGGCCGACGAGGTGCAGGTGATTTTGTTCCAGTTTCTTCGGTTTCCGGAATGTACTCAATTAGCGATGGAGATGATTCTTGACGGCAGCAACACTGACCACTCGAAGCTTCCGTTGGAACTACAGTACCAGCTGTCAAAGTTTACTTCCGATGCAATCGGTTCGTTCTCCCACAATCAGTTGTACGAATACGGCAACACCGCCAGCCCGAGCCAACAAAGAATTCTCTGCAACTCCGAGGCGTTCAGTTTCTTCGAAAAGCACAAGCCGGGGGCCAACACCGTCGTTCACGGCTCGGACACAACCGACAGCAGCAAGTTGCAAACAACGCTTAACCACGAAATAGC